GTTTAATGGTAGTATACTCGTGCTAAGTTTATCAAAACATCATTTAGTATTGATAAGGTTTTCAAATGTCGTGTTCCAGAAGGAGGATTCTCATTCAAACATGCCACACCATGAATTGTATTGCTGTTCAGCATTCAGCATTCGTTGCGATGCAATTAATGAAACTAACCTTTTCGATAGGATGAATCTAATCTTTAGAAAGCGAAGAGTTTTCGATCGAATTTCGCGGTCATAGTTACGATCTGAAAGGTAGTGAATTCCGAAATATAATGACGCAGTTACGAGATCCCGATTCGAAATTCGTCGGTGGTTGGGCGACATTCAGCTTAGAGTTGACTTTTGCCGCAGATGAATTTATCAATCCAAAGCCGAACTATATTCTGCCCGAAATACCAAGTAATCTGCCTGCGGACGATTATCGCAATGTGATGGTTGCAAGAACTTCTCAAATTAGGTTAATATCGGGGAATTGTTTTTCAAATGAAATCAAAAACATTTTGCCCTCTTGTAACTATCCTCAAACAGCGTTGTGCAACAACCCTAATGACTGGTTTNTTTTAATGCTACAAGTAATAAAATTGAGGAACAACTCAAATTGGAAATGCGAATTTCAGTGATTTTACAATTGAAACCTCAAATGGCACAATTCAAGCAGTTCGTCTACTACTAATTCTATCAACGAGATATTTTCGTGATTTTATCAATTTAAATCCAACCGCGAATACAGCTATCCTTCCGTTCAGCAAATTTGTTGTTGATGAGGTTGGTGGCTGCATTCTCATAATTCATAAGTTGTGTCGCTCAAGAGAACGATCAAATCTGGAAGAGAAATCTCGAAATGAAGACAGAAAATATGCTGTAAAAAAGTCCTCTTCAACCAAATATCATTTAGTATCGCTGAGTGGTATTAATGATTGTTTCATATTTCAGGTTTTGAAGTTTGCCCTCACAGGCTCGTTTGATTTGCTGGGATCACAAGTGGATGTTTTGGATGAATTTCTTTCGTGCACTGAGTTGATTGTTCCCACTGATACTCATTCTCTCACCGAACATATTGCGGTTAATCTTCGAAGACGAGTCAATAAGGCTAGCCTTTCCACTGGATAAACGAAAAGATCTCGAAATTAGTTCTTTGTATCAATTCGTTTCCTAGCTAGCAGAATGTCACTCAACCTTTAGCTGCAAGCGTGAATCACGAAAGAAATTCATCATTTAAATCCATTTAAATTTGATTACATATATCTGACTTTACTGTGCAAATTAGTAAGCGCTAAATTTCTTCGAACTATACGTTACTGATGATGGTAATGAAATTGCAGTTGCAGGAATGGCAAACATTACCGTTATATGATTGTCTGAAACTGTTAGTTCTGTCTTGTAAACACGGACTGTGGGAGTTATCTTGCACGTTGACTAACCTAATTGCTAACGTTCACTATAAAGTATTCAAGTATGTATGATACTTTCTTCAAACTTTCATTTGAATGAAAATTAAATAAATCAGATTCAAGAATCAATTTGTATCGATTGTATGAGAAGTAAGATGAGATTGCTCTGCATTGACCTGTAGCCGTATCAATGCTCTTCTCCTTCATGCGAATAACATTTTGATCAAAGCAAAATTCTCGAATCATCGCCGAGTTTTCTTCACTAATTCTGTGCATCTTCACATTTTTAGACGAGACTATAATGCGCATTCAACGGGCCAGAATCTACGAATCTTTGAAGAACTCAATGAGCAAACATTCCGTTTCATACATCCGATCGACAATATCAAACGAAAATTTGAGCAATCCGAGAAGATGAGACCAATTTTGAGGTTCAGAGCAATCAGTAAAACCAACGAAATCTGAACAAAACCAGTGGATAAACTCAATTATTGTTTTGGACAGAGAAGTAAATAGATCTCGATCATTTGATTAAATAAATCAGTTAAAGATAATTTCTCTTATAATGCAATTGTAACTTTTTATGGATTATGAAAATTTTCTCAAAAATTCTTTAAATGTGATGTTAATCTATTCAATTGCCAAAACACAATCAAAAATGTTTTATTAGGTTCTTC